AACTTCTAATTCTGCTCCATAAATCTCTACAACTAAAAATGAGAAGAATAATCCTAAAAGACCTAAAAATTCAAATAACATATTTTCTAAGTCCTAGAAAAATATAAAAATTAAAATTTAACTTTTTATTTGCATCACAAAGGCTATTCTGATGCTCTAAATTTAGTTGTCTTTATGCATATGTACAGATAAAATAATATTCAATCTTCTGTTTTCTATATATGAATAACATATTTTCCTTGATAAATTAAATGCACATTGATTATAATTAGTAAGTGGCAAATATTATTGGGAAATTATCAAATATATCCCCTATAGTTGTCTATATTTCAAACTTATCTTTATTTTTCGTTTAATACATCTAAATCCGTTTCTAACTGTCTTTTTTTTTTGTAAAATACATTTTTACCCCGTAATATCTCTATTAAAACTGGCGGTTGCAGTTAGGAGTAATTATAATTTTTTTAAAAAAATTATGCACTACATATATCTAGAAAAAACATCTTAGTATTGAAAGATGCATTCCAATGTTATGATAGTCTAAATATCGATAATATAGAAAGAGATATAGCTATCGTTATTATTTCAACTTAAATTTGGTTACCCTAATCCCGCGTCTTCATTTAGTAGATCTCACAATTGAATGTGACATATCCCACCATTCACTGTGTTTTAATACATGTATACTATAATAAATAAATAAATATCAAAACCTTTTATTAAAAAAGTTAAATAAAAAAGTTAGAAAAGTTGTTTCTTATAAGTAATGCTTTTATAACGTTATTTTTCAAAAAGACTGTTTATCTGAAAAACTAATTTTAAAATGTATAATTTTAATCTATAGCTTAACTAAATTTATTAATTTGATAATTAGTATTTACGAAATGTTCTATCTTTTTCATATCTATACAACTTGAGGCTGAGCTGATTAATTGGAGGATTTTCAAGGTCAAAACAACCTTTTCACGTGGGTCCTTCAAGTGCGGCTTCTATGTTGATGCTTTGTATAAATTTTTTCCAAGATGTATATTTTCATAATTACAGATGTTTGCATAAGATTGCAACTTAAAACGATCAAAGTAAGGTGCACCTCCAAAGTTTGTCATAAGATGCAATTTTAGTGTTGAAAAGTTTTTAGGATGTCATGAGAATTTATTTTTACCTTTAATTATAACAATTTACGCTCAAAAAATGGTTTAAATCAAGCATATATATAAATGCATGAAAATTTTGAAAATGGACTGTCCAAATAATGCATTTCAAGATGTATTAATTTTTTTTAGACTCGAAATCTCAAAATTTTTTTTATACCCATATATCTCGATATTTAGATGATCAATTAGATGCTTTTCCAATAACAAGACAAATTTGCAAGGAGTTTTAAGGTGCCCCTCAATTTTATGGTGTCAACCTTCTATAACCTTTTGGACATGGTTTCTATGCGGCCAGGCCACATATTGTAGAAATGTTGGGTTGGCAATATATATATTTTACATATAATTTGATCTTAATTTTTTGAGAATATATAATATTTAACAGGGAGATCATAAATACGAAAAAAAAATAAAATTTGAAAACTAAAAATAATAATTATATAAAAAAACATTTGGACCATGTTTTTAGATGGATCTCCTATTTGCATCAATCTTTAACATGGATGATTTATAAATCTGGACCACATATTGTAGAAATGTGGTCCACCCCGCATGAAACAATTTTCATGAACTTTTTCCTTACGAGTTGCTATTTGTGTGCTTTTTTTTTAGTGCCAAACCATACACCACACAGATGCAGAGTCTTTATTGGGAACCATGTTAAACTAATCGTCAATGTCCATCACATAAACAAATGGTGATGCTCCAATGACCAATGGGGCAAGACATGGCAGATACACCACTGGTGTTTAGTTTGCCGTCCAATATTTGGCATTTAGACATTTTGGATAAAGAAAAGGTTTCTATACCTTCTCTATGGCATGGAAGATATATAATGTGGCACTTAGATATTTTTGATAAGAGAAAGGGTTCCCCTATTTATTGTATAGAAGATATATATTAAGCTATTGACCATTTGATATAGATCCGACGTCTCATAATATTTTATTTTTATTATTTTCTACAAATTATATAAATATGAAATTTATTATGTATTATTATCTCAATAGGGGTATATAAAAAAAATATTACATTTTTTTGGATAAAATATAATGACCAAAATACCTTTTAAACTTTCAAAAGTATTTTGGTTGTTTTATTTTATTAAAGTAATGATACTATGAGACTCTTCCACACCCATGTGAGTAGGACCCCAAAGGATCATCATTAAATTTTGACAAATATTTTTAGAAAAGTTATTAATAAACTCATTCATCCAAATACTACATTCATGTGATAAATTTTCTAAAGATATATATCAAAATTTAATGGTGATCCTTTGGGGTCCTGCTCACATGGGTGTGAGAAGGTCTCATAGTGTCATTGTTCATTCTAAACATTATATATGAACAGGACCTCAAAGAATCACCATTATATTGTAACACGGATCACTAGAAAAATTATCACATGGGTGTGGGACTTGAGTGAATGGATTCATTGATAACCTTTTTAAAACTCAGAATCAAAATTTAATTGTGATCCATCGAGGTTTTGCTTGAGCAATGGTTTAAAAAGAGGATCGGTGACCTAGATTGGGCACCTCAAAAATTGATCCGGATCGAGAATCGGTTGGATTAATGCTTCAAAAAAAAATCTGAAAAAATTACTAAAATTCATTATAAATGTTGTTTTTTAGGAAGCCAATAAGAAATGAGGGTACTACATTATTAACTTTCATTTTTTTCATCAATTTGTGAATATTGAGATGCTCTTTCATTGTATAAACTTAAGTATTAAATTTGCATCACATAAAAGAAAAATTATAGAAATATCATGGATAAAATATATAATTATACATGAACTATAATAAAGAGTAGACTAAATAAATGAAAAAATGGCCATTAAAATCTCATTTTGGCGAAAAACCCTAATCCGCTAAAAAAACCCAAATTATTACAGCCAAACTAACTATAATTCAAAATTATTACAACTTAACTAATTATAATATTATATATTGAAATTATAATTATTACTTTACATTTTATAATTATTTTATTAGACAAATAATAACAAATTAAAAATATTTTATAATATTATCTAATTTAAAATATATTATTGACAATTATAAAAAAAATAAGTACATATTATGATTATTAATGTAAAA